AATGCTTCACCCACGTGCTACAAATAAAAATAGTCGCCAACAGAACCTAAACACCTAACCTAATCTAACCTAACCTAACCTATGCCTATATATGCACAATATGCTAATATATTATAATATTAATTTATATTTGAGAGAATTCCCGCTTTGAAAGAAGAGCATGTAAAAAATTATGAATGCGTCTATGGGGTCGACCACTGGATGGAATGGACTTGAGTCGAGGACGGGTTGCCTGCTAGTATCCAGCACTGAATCACTATTTACTGTTGGTATGTCTGGAAAATCGAGCATTGGACTTTGGAAGACATCAGAGACATGAGCGGGAGACGCCAGCTCCTCTTCAGTGGAGCTGGCATCTCCAAAAAGATTAAGTGGAGAGCCACAACTCAGTACTTACCTAGTTGTGCTTGCGGGGGTTAAGCTCTAGCTCTCTGGTCCTGCCTCCCAACTGTCAATCAACTGGTGTACAAATTCCTGAGCCTACTAACATAGCTAACATATCTACATTTGAAACTGTGTATGGAGTCTGTCTCCACCACATCATTACTTAGAGCATTCCATTTGTTAGCTACTCTGACACTGAAAAATTCTTTCTATTGTCTCTGTGGCTCATCTGGTACTACGTTTACACCTGTGTCCCCTTGTTCGCGTTCCACCCGTGCTAAAGAGTTTGTCTTTCTCCACCCTGTCAATTCCTCTGAGAATTTTGTAGGTGGTTATCTGTTACGGCCCTCTCGGGTCACAACCGGGTTCTTTCTCTGATGTTGTTAGAGGTAGGGTATCCGGCCCCAAGCTAGTAGTGGCTTTCAAGGGATGTGATCCGTAATGCAAGTAAATTAAAGGGGAAGGGAGACAAAGGCAAAAACTTAATAATATAATTATCACCGTCACCATAAATAATATATATCTTATCACACGGGGGAGGTATAAACACTATTATATACAACGTAGTCTTCCTCTGAAGACTCTGGACGTTCACGGTGCTCGACGATGCTAAGCCCTTGGTCCTCTTGTGGCCTCACGATGAATCCTTCGATTCTCTTGAGTCTACCCTGGCCACAGGCCAGCCAAATCACAGTTCCACTGGGGGCACCGTCGTGGAGGCCGTCAACCACAAATCCAGCCTGTAGCTGGCAGGTTCCAATCAGCAACGCTGCGTAGGCCACTCCACGACCGATACTAGGGTTGCGAGCCCTAGTCAGGAGCCTCGTGTGATTCCACAGATCACTCTCCTCACCACAACACCCCAGTGGTTAAGCGTCTTCACCAGTCAGCCCCGGGTACGACAATCCCTCAACTGCCACGTCACAGGCAGGCTAACACCACAGTGTTCATCCGGGGGGGTGACTCACAGCTGCTGCAGCAAACACGTGGAGACTCTTCGACTGCCTTGGGTAGACTGATCCAACGTTCATTACAGCAGTCCCAGGTCGACTCTGTAATCAGACACGTCATCAGTACTGGTTACACTCTAGGGCATCTCACTTACCGGCTTAGACACAAACGCCCACCCATCTACTCCATAGATGGCATTGCTGTCTAAGCGTCACCTCACCAGAGGTCAGCAGCGGCTACGTCACGAGCTGATTAGGACTGGAAACTAGCCCTTGTGGCCAGTATACCTCGTCCTCACTAGGTGGCGTCGTCCATTTGGAGGGGGTTTCGGGAGCTGACCCACAGATGGCACTGTCGTCACTGCTCCGTGCTCGGACGCTGGACTCGGGTCCGTAACATTATCATGTCTCCCTTTACTTTTCTGTTTTCCAGGGATGTGAGGTTCAGCTTCCTTAGCCTTTCCTCGTACCTCATACCTCTCAGTTCAGGGACTAGTCTGGTGGTATACCTCTGAATCTCCTCTAACTTTGTCTTATGTTTAACTAGGTATGGACTCCAGGCTGGAGCTGCATATGGATTGCCACGTGCCACCGATTCAGTGTATCCAAGTGACTCGAGTGAATGGCAGTGAAGGTACTATCTTGTACCATTCTAAGAGCCAGTGACAAGGAAGTATATCTTAACCATACATTTCAGTGTACAGGGGTCGAGGAAGGAGTCACGTCACCTCGCCCAACGCTGAAAGGGTACTAGGCGGCAACGCCTGTGTTCGTACACACGCTTCTCTGTAGCGTGTGTACGAACACAGGAAGTGCCTATATATAACGGTAGACGAATGTACAGAACAAAGACAGTGATTTCATCTCAAGAACCACGGGACGGTAATGTCCCTCTACCCACCTAATTGTGATGGCGAGGACTAGGCTTCAGCTCTTTGGTCCCGCCTCTCAACTGTGTGTGTGTGTGTGTGTATTTGTCTGGTATGTTCGTGTACACGCCTCTTGTGTGTTGGTGTATTGGCACAGCAGCTCAACGTGTAAGAGACTCTAACATGTACAGTCTCTCTCATCAATGAGACGTTCCAGTGTGGTAAAGAAGTGATTGCCAACTATATATATGACAGTGTAAAGCTTTGTTCTCAAGTTGTGTGTGAGAGGGTCCGTGGTCTCTGAAGTGACTTTTTAGTGGACATTCGCCTAAGACCGCCGGCTGGAGGTTGCTGGCAATGCCTCCTGTCTTTGAAGAAAGCTAGGCTTACCACCCTCGCTGTGCGTAGAGGATTACCAGTTATCATCCAACATTTGAATCGGCAGAGTTAATATCGTAACGATTCCTCTGTGATGAAGTCGAGATTGTGAAGTGTTTTATCATCTCACTCGTGTTTGCGTGTGGGTGGAGACTTTCGACGTGTTACGCCTCTCTGAGGGTAACAATCATGCGTTGATAGATGTTACACACGTCAGAATAGGATTGTCACCAGCATTATTCAGTTACTGTCTCAGTGACAAAAGTATAATAATACATGTATTGTAGTATTTTTATTGTTATTCTGATACTGAAAACGTCGGAATGCACTAATTGCAAGTGTATTCACAATTGTTCAGATTAGTTCACTTTGTGTCACTCATGTAAGAGACGGTGACTAGAACTAGACAAACTAGAACGGTGGGAAACGATTCATGCTGTGTATGGTTTGCATAGCTGATTGATGTGACACTCGTAATTAAAGTAAAGGATTTCCTTGTGTTGTACTAGTTGTTAAGTTGTAGATAAACTTGTTAAACACCTCGCCATCTTTCCGTTAGACCTGACTCTTGACAACGTACACTGTTACCTAATTTACGTGACCCCTTGCTCAACTTTCAAACAAATTGATGTGGACCTTTACCATTCAGTGCACTGCATGCACACAGTGAATGGCACGACCAAAGTGACTCACATTCCTATAGGTATACCTCTGTCTTGAGAAGGCCACTCACTGAGGAGTCATAACTCGACAGAGAATAAACAAATCCACAAGGACCGTGATGAGGGTTCGAACCTACGTCCGGGATGATCCCAGACGCTCCTTAGTCAACTGCACCACGACATGGTCAAAAGAATTGCAACCGGGAGTGCTACTGCCCTCACACGGATCTTGCTGCCTCTCCGCGACACAAACCAGTGTTCGACACAACTCCCCCATGCACCCGGGCTCTGTCAACAAGCTGTTCTACCTCTTCGCCCTTACTTCAATACACACAGAAATCACAATAGCGTGATGCATCAAATGAACAAATCCCCAAGTGGGATTCAAATAAGGGAATTGTGTAAAACCCTGGTTTGTGTCTTGGAGAGGCTGCAGGATCCGAATGAGGGCAGTAGCACGCCCAGTTGCAATTCTTTTGACTATGTCGTGGTGCAGTCGACTAAGGCGCGTCTGGGATCATCCCCGACGTAGGTTCGAACCCTCATCACGACCTTCGTGGATTTGCTCATTTGAAGCATCACACTATTGTGATTTATGTGTGTATCGGCAGAGAACACTTGGGAGAGTGAGGCTTGCTGCTCTAGGCATTTCTTGAATACCTGATAGTTCTAGCTCATGCAAGGGAGTCTGTCTTATGCACCTAAGGCGACTGCTGCAAGCAGAACAATCTGGGAAAAGAAGCAATATCTCACAGATGTGTGGTTATTCTTGCATGACAGTCTGATGGAATTACTAGTGTAGCTTTCAAGTTCCAGTTCAAGTATGTTTATTGAGATAAGCAATAAATACATCTCAAAGGGAAAGAGTAGCTTAGACTATTTCTAACCCCCCCCCCCTGTAGTAGCTTTCACTTTGCCTCAGACCTACTAGGTTTTGTTGAAGTTCTTGGTGTATTATTGCTCTGAGCCAGTTTACAGGCAATTCAAGGTTATAATCAACTTCTCATTTGAAGGCAGATTCCTTGGCTAATTGATGAGCTATATCATGTATTCGAGTTCTTCGGAAAGATGAAGAATAAGGAGTGACAAGATTGAAGTATAAAAATGGATGAAAGGGTATAACAAGGGAGATGTTCAGAGTGTGTTGAATACATTATCAACGCAAAGCAAAACATGAAACAATGGATAACAACAGAATACCTTTTTATTAAAAAACTTGAAAAATACTAGCTTGGAAAAAGGGTGTTAATTTAGGGAACAAATTACTGGGTGGCATAATAAACTTGGATTAAACATAATAGCTGGATTGCTTCAGTCATAAGATAGACATATATCTAAGTAAGTTTCGATCTTAAAAATAGGAGCTGCGTCGCACGAGTCATAAAACTTCCGGCAGTTTCCTTATTTCCTTATTATTATGTGTTAGTGGCGCTGAATAACCTAAGAGGTTCCGGTATCCGGTCCACGGCATTAATGCCAATGACACACAAATTATTCTGAAGGAACTTTGTAAATAAATCACAGATTATTGTTCTTGTAGTGAAGAAAATATTCATAGACAAGTCACTGGCATAGACTTGTGCAGATGAATTTAGCCTAGAATGCTTCTAGGAATCAAACCCACATCCCTGAACTCAACAAGCACACGCACTACCGCTGGACCATGATAGTATACTGATTCAATCCCGTCATTTGGTTTCAATACATAATTTATACTAATACAAACTGTAAAGAGCAACTCATATAAGATAATTTACCTCCGTTAGATGATCAACCAGATCAAGTGACTCTTCCAGTTTGAACTTAGGAATAGTGACTTCCGCCTTAATTTGTTTGAGGTCCTTGTCAATATTAAGGAGCTGAACAGTAGCCAGCTTGGCCTCCAGCTCTGCTAGTCCATCCCGCTTGTCAGGCAACACAAACACCATACTTAGCCTTGATCCCTGCAAATACACACAATTTATAGATATAATGTTAATTTTCCTCATATAATTTGGCCATAATACAAATATATAGAAATATTTATTATTTTGTGAAGCATTAACAACAAAGCGAGAGGCTGACAGATTGTTGTTGTTGTTTAAGATTCGCTACTTGGAACAAAAAGTTCCAAGTAGCACGGGCTATGGGGAGCCCATAGTTGGCTGACAGATGCTGACACAGATAGATTATCGGAAATGTGTGGTGCTGTAAGGGCAGAGGTGGACGCGCTGCACGAGGACCTTAGGCAGATGAAACACAGTGTCTACCCATCAGAGAAAGCAAAGGAGAACAGCCTAAGGAAGTAAGAACTCATATAGTGTGTACTTACTCCATCTTGGAGCGTCACGAAAGACAAGGGACATTGGAAGACTTTGACAAGGCTTTCTACAGTTTTCTTAAGGATCTGCAATTAATTCACCACTTTGGAGGATGAGTGGTGTAGGGAGGCTGCAGGTCGCCTGACGGTAAGGCGCTGTAAAAGAAATAATTAAGCGGATTTTGGCTGTAGGTGATTGCCAGGAGAAGAATTTAGATATAATTTGTTGTGTCAGAGACGGAAAATAACTTAAGGGTTTGTTATTTGTAAGTGAGAATATAGGATATTGTTAATATGAAAGACAACATAGCAGGAAATGGGAACTGTCCCATTATTTCTATCCCTGCTAATGGAATGAAATAGGAAGAGTTATGACTAAGACACTAATTCAGGGGTTTAAAACTGCCATCGAATTAGGAGCAAGGGTAGGATTCTGATCATATATAACATCCTTCCAAAAAGAGGAGTTGGAAATAAATGGCTGTCTGGAGCACTTAGTCAATTGCCGACTTGGCAATTATTACAAGTGAAATGCAACATCAATATTTAATAACTGGGAATTCTTCTATGATAGGAGTATATATGCTCAGGATGGGGTTCATTCATTTAGAGCTGGGATTGCTGTCTTTGTCAATCGTTGGAATCAGTGATCAAAAGTGGTTTGTTTGGGTTTAAAGTAAGTAATTATCAAAAGAAGGCATCAAGGTGGGGGGTGACTATGTAGCATCATCAAAGGTCCATGAGATTCAAGAGACGCCAAATATCACTAAGGATGCCAATACGAAAGGAAAAGCGTATAAGGCGAGCGATATCAAAGGTATCTGATTCTTCAAGAGTGCTAACGAGGGACAAATGATAGCGAGGGACAGGCAGGATACAAGACATGCACATCCTGGAAATCAGGACATTCAACAGAGACATGCACGACTACAAGAGAGACAATGCAGTTTGGACAATATGGAGCTCGGCGGCGCTCCATAAAGTGCCCGAGAGTTAAACGTATATGGCCAATACGTAACCACACCAGAGTCGTTTCCCACTGCCAGTTAGTGGTAGGAGGAGAGCAAAGGGGACACGTTACCATTAAGAGGATGCAGTACTTAGCAACAGAAGACCAACGACCCTGCCAACGGGCATGGATTGAGGAATGAATGACTGGGTAGCAGACGGAATAAGGAATGACTTTACGGGAAATTGGACAATTGCAGATAGCCTCCTTAGCAGCAGCATTTGTACGCTCATTTAAGGAAACACCAATATGGTTCGGAACCCAACAAAACTCGACTGTCTTAAATCTGCTGGAGATAAGAAGCAACCAATGTTGTATTTCGACCATCACGGATGGACTGGATTAAAAAATTCGCGGGCATTTTGGCCTGGGTTCGTATCCTGGCTAGGGAGGATTGACTGGGCGCCAATCTTTTACTGTAGCCTCTGTTCACCCAGCAGTGAATGGGTATTTGGTTGTTAAACGAATTGACAGGTCGTTACAGATACTTTGTAAATACTCTGTAGGACATGGCCAATTGTCTAATGCTTTGTTTGTTCATTTATCACACAATTCTCACCAAATTGATTGGAAGATGGCTTCTTCAATAACGAATTGTAAAATCACTTTCAATAGGAAAATAATTGAATCTGCTTTTATACAGATTACAAAAGAATGTAATTTGAACATTAGCAGTAGTTTATATAACTTAGATCCATTTTTGACAGATCAATTAAAGGGCGATTTGAGAAGGATCATTGATAAACATTTGTCTCACTAATTTATTGTTAATATTTACTATCTTATGCTATTATTATCCATGTATGGGCCTATTGATGCAGCTCTTATTTTATGGGCCCATAAACCATTAGTGGGTATAAATAGGAGTTGCCTCGTATGGTCCAATAGGCCTTCTGCAGTTCTTATGCGACTCTTATTTATATCCACCTGATATAAATAACTATTCATTTTTCATTGTATTTCACTTCACCTCTCTCTCCTGCCTATATATATGTCCAATACTTAACTTGTAAATCATTCCTTCTGAAGATGTATTATTATACGAAAGTACTTAAGGAAATTCCTATTTCAATTCTTCCTCCGTGGTCTGACACTGTCACTTTTTCATCATGAGTTAATTTTCGTGATTTACACACACACACACACACACACACACACACACACACACACACACACACACACACACACACACACACACACACACACACACACACACACACACAGTCTTGTGTGTGCATCCTAAATTACTACATAGCCATATAAGAAGGAAGATGTCGGTATATGACCAAGTGACAAGACTGAGGAAAACAGAAGGGACATATACAGAAAGCGACAAGGAAATCTGTGAGGTACTGAATGCAAGTTTCCATGGATTGTTCACAACCGAGCCTGAGCAGCTCCCATTGTTAGAAGCGATTACCATAGATGGAAGACTATCAGATATAGAGGTGACAGCAGAGGAGGCAATGAAGCAGTTGACAACACTGGATGCAACTAAAGCGGTTGGACCAGACAAAGTATCACCGTGGATACTAAAAGAGGCAGCACAGGCTCTCAGCGTGCCTCTGGCAATGCTCTTTAATGAGTCACTTATGTCGGGAGAATTGCCCAGTTGCTGTCAGGAGGCAAATGTCGTACCGATTTTCAAGAAAGGTGATAGGGAGGAGGCACTTAACTACAGACCCGTATCACTGACAAGCATCCCCTGCAAAATAATTGAAAGAATAATTAGGCTAAGACTTGTTGAGCACCTGGAGAGCATTGGGTTTGTAAACAAGCACCAACATGGGTTCTGGACAGGGAAATCATGCCTAACAAAGCTTTTAGAATTCTATGACAAAGAAACGCTGTCAGGACAGAGAAGGCTGGGCAGACTGCATATTTCTTGACTGCCAAAAGGCCTTTGATACAGTACCGCACATGAGACTGCTTTACAAACTTGAGAGGCAGGCAGGAGTAAGCGGAAAGGCCCTAGCATGGGTGAGGAACTACCTAACAGGAAGGAGCCAGAGGGTAATGGTAAGGGGCGAGAAGTCGGACTGGCGAACAGTAACGAGTGGAGTACATCAAGGATCGGTGCTGGGCCCAATCCTTTTTCTAATTTATGTAAATGATATGTTTACAGGAGTGGAATCATACATGTCAATGTTTGCGGATGACGCAAAATTAACGAGAAGAGTTGTGACAGATGAAGATTGTAAGATCCTCCAAGAGGGCTTAAACAGGTTGCAGAGATTGTCAGGGAAATGGCTACTGGAGTTCAACACCAGTAAATGTAAAGTTATGGAAATGGCATCAGGTGATAGACGACCAAAAGAACAGTACACAATGAAGGGGAACTGCCTACCTGTAACAATTCGAGAAAGAGACCTGGGAGTGGATGTGACACCTAATCTAACTCCTGAGGCACATATAAATAGGATAACGACAGCAGCGTACTCTACACTGGCGAAAATTGGAACTTCATTCAGAAACCTAAGTGAGGAGGCTTTTAGGGTACTTTACACTGCCTACGTGAGACCAGTCTTAGAGGATGCCGCGCCATCATGGAGCCCCCACCTGAAGAAACATATAAGGAAACTAGAGAAGGTTAAGAGGTTTGCGACGAGGCTTGTCCCAGAGTTACGAGGGATGGGATATGAAGAACGTCTGAGGGAACTGAACCTTACGACACTAGAGAAAAGAAGGGAGAGAGGAGATATGATAGGAACATATAAAATACTCAGGGGAATTGACAAAGTGGAAATAGATGAAATGTTCACACGTAATAATAACAAAACGAGGGGGACATGGGTGGAAACTGGAAAATCAGATGAGTCACAGAGATGTTAGGAAGTTTTCTTTTAGTGTGAGAGTAGTGGAAAAATAGATTGCACTTAAGGAGCAGGTTGTGGAAGCAAACTCTATTCATAATTTTAAAATTAGGTATGATAGGGAAATGGGACAGGAGTGATTGCTGTAAACAACCGATGGCTGGAAAGGCGGGATCTAAGAGCCAATGCTCGATCCTGCAAGCACAAATAGGTGAGTACACACACACACCCACACTCCCTCCCATCTGACCTGAAGTGACATCTCTGCCCCCTCCCACCCCCCCACCCCCAGTTTCCCAGGCATCCCCTCCCCTCCCTTACAAACACACACACACACACACTCACACTCTTTCTTTCCTTATCTCGCTCTATCTGTCCCTCTCTCTATCTCTCTCTCTCTCTCTCTCACCCCACTTGCCCTCCTCCTGACAAATCCTATCACAGCATAACAGGAACAGGGGCAAGCATGATGGCCAGAGGACACAGGGAAAAGTCAAGGTGATGAAATAAAGGAAATGTTTGCCCAGTTTGTGGAGGCGAACCATAAACTGGGCGAACACACAAGTTTTATATGCAAGTTTTAAATATCAGGAATTTCTTTTTTCAGTTTTATTAAACAATAGAGATTTTATACAAAATTTGAAAATATCCTGAGTTACTTTACAATTTATTGAAATATTTTTATTTTTTTATAAAACTATAATATCAATATAGGTATTGGTTAAGTAGTAATTGTAATTAAGAAGCAGTAAAATGCCTATCCTCAGAAACTAAGATGGTTAGGTTAGGTCGTGGTTTTCTATTCAGCTTTTTAGGTAAACTCAAATATTCACAAAATATTTGACAGTACGATTTAATACTAAGTGTAAATAAGTACAATTCCTAACTGTCATACATATTACATAATTGCACTTATGGGGCTGTTACATTTACCTCCCCATTTTTGGAGGACAGGCTGGCATTGTTGCAAATTCCCAAACTAGACTACAAGCTCTACTTGATTCACTCGCTGCTAAAAACAATGAATGTGGTCTTATCTCTATAAGAAAATCCAGAGCTCTCCATCCCCAAGAGAAAACTCATGTCCCTCAAATTTTCAAGGTCATCAACCAGAACATTGGAACTTTTAATTAGTTGAAGTTAAATTAGACCTTGGTATCCCCATCTCTACTGTCAAGACTATACTGTTCCAAACACACAGGTCTGATAGGATAGAAATTACTGACTCCCAACGACCTGAAAGCAACAGAATAAAAAGTTATGATATGTTCAGATCAAAAACCTACATTTCTGGGCAGCACAAAATGTCCACGAGACTGTGCGACACAGTGGTTGGCAGGATCAGGTTGGGTTACCGTTACCTGTGGCAGGTGGCTACAGATGATGAATCTCCCAATCACGAGCACTCCAGGTGCAAACTCTTTGAGCAGGAACTGAGGAATGATCTCGCACACTACATCACCGAATGTAGTGTGCAGTGTAGTGTGTGAATGTACATCACATAATAGTTATCAGACCATTCAGACCCGTTGGCATGAGGTACCTCGAGCTTTGCAATTACTTTATTCATTCTCGTATCCTTGAGGATATCCTCATAATTCACCCAAAATTTGCCAGTGCAGGCTACTGAACATATGGTCCAGTATGACTAACCATCCTGCGAGATAGAGACTCAGTATCACTGCTGCCTTATTCACTCTAGTGTTCATGATATCATCATAATGCACCGAGAGTTTGCCAGTGCAGACTACTTATCACATGCCTCTGTATGACTAGTATGACTAACCATCCTGTGTGATGGGGATTTTTAGCTTCACGTAGCTAGTTTGCTGAAACACTCTGTACTCCGCTTTAAATAGGCTAGGGTAGCTTCGAAAATGCAGGTATACCGAAAAGTATTAATAATAAAAACAAAAACAGATGACCGGACTATTATTAGTAGGCCAGAATCGCCTTCCAAAAGCTCATCCTTAGGCTTACACTAGTAGTTTATCCTGAAACACGATCCATTTAAGAGCTTTACAACCAGGTCTGCAATTACAAATAGAAATCACAATAGTGTGATGCATCAAATGAACAAATCCACAAGGGAAACCCTCGAACCCTCGTCACGGCCCTTGTGGATTTGTTCATTTCTGCAATTTCTGCTAAGAAACCTGTGAGCAAAAAATATGAACAAGTGCCCAATCACCGCTTCTTGCTTTGGGCTCGAACCCAGGACGAATGATAGGGAACTCAACCCTTGTACAACTCGAGGTATGACCTGAATGTTAAGTAGCAATTTCATGAGACATTACACACCTTATAGTTCATTGCAAGAAGAGTTGCTCCAAGATCTTTGTTGTGTTGCATGCGAAATATCTTCTTGATATGCATCATTGGCACCTTAATGCTCTCACTCTCCGATATCCAAAACTTGCCATCATGGGTATCAGTGGTCTTGAACTGCTCTTCCCATAGTCCTTTGAAGTAGACTGCATTGACCAGCACCATCGCTGTTAAACTATTCAATATTCCTGAAATGGAGGACAAAACTATTAACATCATCAGCTGGTTGCCAACTGTCACGGTAAAAGAATGAACAAGAACTGAAGCTAAGAGAGAGCAGTTCAGGACGAGAATGGTAACGTCAACCAACATCATCCAAGTGGATTGCTCCAGGATGTTTTAACGAGACCTTTTTTTCCCTTATAGACATGTACAATTTAAACACAAGACGAAACACCACCATTAAATTAGCCAATGACATTAAAATTAGACGAGTTTTAGGTATTTCTAGAACATGCGGACCACGACAGTAGACCTCTACAGACTCAGTAAACTGTCAGAAAATTAGTAGATACAGTTCAATGATAGGTGTTTGGTGTTAAATCTGGGAAACCAAATTAAAAGTAGAGATATCACCTAAAACAGTGAAATTGGGAAATCATATTGCGAAAAGGATCTGAGAGTCACGGGAAGTAAGGATCTGAGAGTCAAAAGAAGTAAGGATCTAAGAGTCATGAGAAGTAAGAATCTGAGAGTCATAAGAAGTAAGGATCTGAGAGTCATAAGAAGTAAGGATATAAGAGTCATAAGAAGTAAGGATCTGAGAGTCATAAGAAGTAAAGATCTAAGAGTCATGAGAAGTAAGGATCTGAGAGTCATAAGAAGTAAAGATCTAGGAGTCATAAGAAGTAAGGATCTAAGAGTCATGAGAAGTAAGGATCTAAGAGTCATAAGAAGTAAGGATCTGAGAGTCATGAGAAGTAACAGCCGGAATGACAGCCTGTGTAAGACAGCCCATGTAAGTCAGCCCATGTAAGACAGTCCATGTAAGACAGTCCATCTAAGACAGCCCGTGTAAAACAGCCCATGTTAGACAGCCCGTGTAAGACAGCCCATGTAAGGCAGCCCGTGTAAGACAGCCCGTGTAAAACAGCCCATGTAAGACAGCCCGTGTAAGGCAGCCCGTGTAAGACAGCCCATGTAAGACAGCCCGTGTAAGGCAGCCCATGCAAGACAGCCCGTGTAAGGCAGCCCGTGTAAGACAGCCCGTGTAAAACAGCCCGTGAAGACAGCCCGTGTAAGACAGTCCATGTAAGGCAGCCCGTGTAAGACAGCCCATGTAAGGCAGCCCGTGTAAGACAGCCCGTGTAAGACAGCCCATGTAAGACTGCCCATGTAAGGCAGCCCGTGTAAGACAGCCCATGTAAGACAGCCCATGTAAGGCAGCCCGTGTAAGACAGCCCGTGTAAGACAGCCCATGTAAGACAGCCCGTGTAAGGCAGCCCGTGTAAGGCAGCCCGTGTAAGACTGCCCATGTAAAACAGCCCGTGTAAGGCAGCTGTGAAAGACAGAACATGTTAAACAGCCCGTGTAAGACAGGTCGTGGCTAATACTGTACAATCTGGGCCACCCAACTGGTAGTTAGATGTAAATTATAATAACTAATCAGAGATGGATGAATAGGTTAATCCCGGCCATTAGGTTCCTCTCTTGCGAATTACGACTTTAAAATAATACATTTATTTTAAAAAATATATAAAATTGGATTAAAAATATGAGAAATTTATATGTATATTATTTTTAACAAACACTGGTTCGGAAACATGATTGTAGACTTTGGTATCAGTTATAAATCATTTCCGCAGCTGCTTCAAGAAAAATCTTCAAACACAGGTTGGGTAAGTACACGAGTAAGAAGTGAGTGATAGAAACTGGAGTCGAGTTGCAAGATAAAGGACTGGTGCTGATGCAGGAGATGTCGCTGAAGACCGGGGCCTTCACGAGTATATGGTAGGCTGAGCTGATGGCCCTCAACGAGTATATGGTAGGCTGGGCTTATGGACCTCCACGAATATATGGTAGGCTGGGCAGATACCCTTCACGAGTATATGGTAGGCTTTGCTGATGGCCCTCCACGAGTATATGGTAGGCTGGGCTTATGGACCTCCAGGAGTATATGGTAGGCTGGGCTGATGGCCCTTCACGAGTATATGGTTGACTGGGCTGATGGTCCTCCACGAATATATGGTAGGCTGGGCTGATGACCCTTCACGAGTATATGGTAGGCTTTGCTGATGGCCCTTCACGAGTATATGGTAGACTGGGCTGATAGCCCTTGTGACGGTCTCCCACCCCTATATTTCTCCTTCCTCTGCTTAAAGTCATATCTCCATAACCTGAGCGTTCTCTGATATCCAGGGAACATTTTCATATGTGTGAGAGTGTGAAGGGTTATCGGGTTGGCTATAAAATTGCCATTTAATTTTGATTGTGGAAGGGGCTTATGCCCTTTTGAGGCACAAGATGGCACCGAACCAATCTGTTTCCCTCCAAAGCGTCGCGACACCTTCCGGCACCTGACTGGCCAGGTCAGGTCACGTGACGGAAGTGACCAATGACGAGGGCCCTCGGGCGGTGTGACGTCACAAGGCGGAGGACCCCAGGGGCGGTTGGCGCCTGGGCGGGAGAGTACGTCACGGACCGTCACAGAGTGAGGACGCGATCCAGTGAGCTCCAGATCAAGAGGCCAGAGAGCCCCTACCAGTGGATTTAAGCATCGCTTTGATACTGCAGACATCCCGTGGAGTGCCAAGAAGCAAGGATTGGCCGGGCTAGAGAGTCAAGAGCTCTATTATCAACAGTCTGTAGCAGGCACGAACATTGGGCTGAAGACGTCTGGGACGCCCAGCGGACCACGTTCTACATATCAAGCGAGTAGCGACAGCCGGGCCGAATCAACTGGAAGTGAGGCAAGGGGAAGCTGTACTGGATTGCAAATTGGATATACAGTGCCAGCGAGAGAAGGAAGACGACGGCGCAGGTACTATTATAGATTGTGTGTTGGTTGTGATGTCGTGTTGATCCTTCTTTACGGACAACCCAACCCACAACTCGGTAGAGTGTTTAAACTTTACCAGGAGATCACCCTGGGCGCTTCTGGCTCTTGGAGAGGGGCTCAACATCACACGTTTCGGGATGCGGCTCCAACACTTAGCCTCGTTGTCACGTGCACACACCCACTCGAGTCGCTGTGACTCCCCACTCTCTCCCTAGGTGATATGATCTCCTCAATCCCCCTTTGACTTATTAGTACTACCTTCTACCCTGTCCACAGCAGTAGTTCTTGGTTCTTTCTCTCTCTCTCTTCTTCTGTACTATTTCATGGAAAGCCTCATTAGGACAAGGGCAAACACCAGCAAATTGGAATACATTTACTGGACAAAGCACATACACAATACATACACACATATAATAATAATGAATCCTATACTCTATACTATTACAATCAGGTTGCACGCCAACCCAATCAGAACTCTATCATCAGCTTATCAAGTGGCATCCTATCTCCTTATTCACCACCTGACACTATCTACCTCTTCAAGTAGATCTAGTCTTATACTACAATGTTGCACTATCAGCGAGAGAATATATCTATAAACATGTATAAGGAAAATCAGCATTGAATGCAATAACATATATATATCAGTATAAATGTTCCTTGATACACAACAATGATCAATCGATCACTATCAGTCCTAGAACACATACATCTGTAGGTAGTCCAGCCTACGACTGTAACTCTAAACTTCAGTATAAAACACTTCTTGACATAAGAATGCAAACAATCACTCACCTCTCACTGCATCTTGCATGCTAATGACAACCAAACACTATCAACTCCCTACAAGTAATCCACCAGAACTTCCCTTCCACCTCTGGAAGTTCACTACCCTGATATCTTTAGGTTCTTCCGGGCTTAACTACCAGGATCCTCTGCAGCTCCTCCAGGCTGCTACCATGAAGTTTCCTTGAGTAACTACGGTGATTTACCCTTCTGCTAGGTTCCTCCACAGCTCTCTGGGCTGGTACACCATGAAGTTCCCTCGAGCAACTATGGTGCTTCACCACCTCTACAGAAGCATGTGACACTCCTCTTCACTGCTTCTCCTCACCGCTCGAGGTCCTCTCCTCCACTACCTTGGAGTCTCATCAATTATTTCATCTGTGCTGGCTTCGAAGTTCTCAGCAACTTCTTTCCCAAAGACAAACCTGCAACCCATCGACACTCCAATAAAAATGTTTCCCCTTTAACACATAAACAAAATAATCACACAATATGTTTGCCTCCAACCTCTATCTGTCCTCTACATACTGTGAGAGTGGATTCCCCTGTTGGGCGGGTCCATGCTCCTCCCCAACGGGCCTCCACACTCTCCTCCACCACCCCTCAGTCAGTTGGCTCCAAGCGGTCAATGGGAGAGGACGCGCTGCTCGCCCCTCCAGCTGTCTCTCTCATCTCCGTCCTCTTATTTAGGCTTCCTGCCTTACCAAAACATTTCTAACTCATCAATAAACATTGCTACTGTCGCTGGGCATACGACCAACTACAAGCAATCACTATGAACTGGTTTAAATCGTGCTTACCACAGATTGTCTCGTTGAGGGCGCTCCTCCCTCTGACAGAGCTTGGTCAGGGCGCTTCCACGGCCCACAATAATGCCTCTGGGCGGTTTAATAAACACTCCTCGTCTCCCAGGACTTGAGACCACACTTCCCCAGCTCGATTCCACAGCTGGTACGTCTGCACACATCTCTTCTCTTGGAGATATATCACTAGGGGTTCCTTCCTGACGGGAGCTCAACGGAGCGCGGCTTTCCCCCTGCGATGTCTGGCCTCAAGTGAGGTCAAAGTCCTCCAGAAGCGAGCATCACACCTCCAGCAAAATATCCACATCTCCTAACCAGTCATTCATCTGTTTTCTTCTTCACTGCCCATAATCTCAAATTGTTATTTAAATCCAACAAACTATTTTACAACTGTGTTATCGCCTCTATATTTCCTATACCTTCTAGTTAGGTCAGGCTGGTTGAATAACTCTCAAGGGGGAGACTCGTTCCTCCTGTAGGCTGAGATCATAACACTCCCCTCCCCTTATTTTTGAGAGTTATTCCAGTGGCAAAGCTTGGGATAATACATCCGCCACCACACTGTCTCGTTCTTCAACCGATTGGTTCGACCGGTTGATCT